GCATTGAGCACTGTCCTGTGCTGGGCGGGGTGGTCCCTCGGACACTGTTGTGCATAGTGTGAGCAGTCCCCACGAGTCCATGGGGATGGGGAAATGGGGGGCTTGAGACTGAGCTTCTCCCCCCTCCCCAGGCCGCAATGAGCCCCTGAAGAAGGAGCGTCCCAAGTGGAAGAGCGACTATCCCATGACAGACGGGCAGCTGCGCAGCAAGAGGGATGAGTTTTGGGACACAGCACCTGCCTTCGAGGGCCGCAAGGAGATCTGGGATGCCCTGAAGGCAGCGGCCTATGCCGTGGAGGCCAACGACCACAGCCTGGCCCAGGCCATCCTTGATGGAGCCAGTATCACCCTGCCGCATGGTGAGGGATGGCACCGGGGCTGTGGGTGGGGTGGGTGCTGAGTGTCCCACGTACAAGCCCATTGGGGTCCCAGGTTGGAGAGGAGAGGGGTTCCCAGCTGCCATCCGTGTAGCTCAGCCCAGTCAAGGGGGGCAAGATGGGCTTTGCCCCGCTGCCTGGGGTGGCCCCATCCCCATTTGAGGGGTCCATGGGGATGCCCACCCACAGCTTCTCACCCTGCTCACGTCCTCAGGGTCCCTGACGGAGTGCTATGATGAGCTGGGCAACCGGTACCAGCTGCCCGTCTACTGCCTGGCACCTCCTGTCAACCTGATCCTGGAGCGAAGCGAGGAGGAGGCGGCAGAGCTGGCCGAGCCCCTGCCCAACACCCGGCGGGAGTTCGCCCTCAAGGTGCGGCTCTCCACCGGTAAGGACCTGCGGCTCAGCGCCAGCATGGGTGACACCATCGGGCAGCTGAAGAAGCAGCTGCAGGCACAGGAGGGCATCGACCTGGCGTGGCAACGCTGGTTCTTCTCAGGCAAGCTGCTCACTGACCGCACACGGCTGCAGGAGACCAAGATCCAGAAGGATTTTGTTGTGCAAGTGATCGTCAACCAGCCGCTGCCACCCAGGAACTGAGCCCCCCCACTGGTTGTGGGGAGACGGCAGGGGGGTGGGGGACAGTGGCACCTCTGGGGCTGCACTGAGCCATGTCTCAGCCCTGCTGGAGCGGGGGCAGCCCCTGTTTCCCCCCAAGGCTGCCCCCCAACTGGGTGACCCCCTGGAAAGGGCTGTGTGGGGCTGTGCCACCACAGTGGCCCCTTTCAGTTGGGGTCATGGCCACACGCCGTGTTTGCTGCAGGAGGTTCGAGACCAAATGTCTCCAGGGGGGTCGGCATGGCCAGGGCCCTGCTGCCAGGCTGTGCTGGCAGGGAGAGGCCATGATCTGCTGGGCTCCAGCTCCCCCCGGCCAGGAGGCCCCAGGGTGCTGGGCTGGGTGGAGATGTCTCCCCTCTGTACATAGTCTGTATTTATCAATAAAGCCTTTTCATCCTCTCTCTGTCCCTTGGGCAGGCTGGGGGGACTGTCACCCACAGCTATGGGAGGTCCCTGTGCCTGTCCTCCATCTGCTCCCATGTTGGGATGGGCACAGGGTTGCCGGGGAGAGCCTGGGTGCCCCAGCTCTGCT